GCAGATGAGCAAGCACACCAAAAGGGAGCAAGCAGTACGCCGAAGTGACTTGATAAACAAAGCCCTTCCAACACCTCCAATCATCAAAACAACGACAATGTAGTACTCCTATTGGCGGCCTGACTGCCTTCCTACACTGTACGCTCCTATCAGCCTAGCCTATCTACATGCACACCAAAAGGGAGCAAGCAGTACACCAATGTGACTTGATAAACAAAGCCCTTCCATCGCCTCCAATCATCAAAACAACGACAGTGTAGTACTCCTATTGGCGGCCTGACTGCCCTCCCTACACTTTACACTCCTATCAGCCTAGCCTATCTACATGCCACGCTCTGTCCACGTGACAATCACCTGATGCTGCTTGAAGACTCTGGTCATGCAGGCTTCCTCCGCCCATCACCAGGTATGTGCCTTGGTCCCCACTGTCGTGCCTTGTCCTGCTGACCTCCACACCTCCACCACTCAGCCTCCAACGCATGGCTGACTATGGCTGGTGCTTTCCTTCTCTCGCTGCCACCGCAGCAACTGCTTCTCACGGGTACTAGCGCTCAACTCCCGTATGCGCAGAGCTGCAGGAATGGCAAATGCCCCAACGTCCAAGTCGGGGCGGCCTCCAGACTTTTGTTCTGGATGGGAGGCCATGCCCAAACTCTGCTTCAGTCCCAGTAGGCAATGCCTGGGGCTCACTGGGTCAACTTGCAGACCTAGCAAAGACCCAGCCGGGCTGGGCCTACCGGTTAGTCGCAGAGGTTGGCTGCTTCCAACCAACCCAAGGCTCCTGCTCACAGACTGGCCTTCACTTAGGTCCGGCATGAGTTTTCCTGGCCTGCCTTCACTTGGGGCGGGCAGGGCCTTTTTCCTGCGCCGCCGAGGGCCTGAATCCTTGCACCCACCTCAATCAAGAAATTCAGAACCCAATCCAGTTCCAAAAAACCGAAAGAAAAGATAAGACAACTCAATCGGTACATCCCTTAAAACGGGAATGATACAGAGAAGATTAGCATGGCCCCTGTGCAAGCATGACACACATAAATCGAGAGAAAGCTCGATCAAAATATTTGAAACACAATCCAGTTAAAAATTCCAGATCCTAATTAGATACGGCGATTCAAGACTTGGAATTTGATCCAGCAGAATGGAATTGGACACCAGATAGAAGCAGAAGTCTCAAAACGTAGGTCCCCAACCACGATTACACAGTCAAACTAGGATACAACTTACTCCTCAAAACAAAGGATCCTGACCCAACGATCAAGAGCAGATGGCAGAAGTTATTAGGTCAGGACGCTAGTCAGATCCCACAAATACCATGGAAAAAATTCAAATCAATCCGTCCGGTCAAAATCAGAAGCCTCCAATGGCTCATCATATCATACGTGGCTCTACCGGTTAACCAGTGGCTGCATATCAGAAGAAGTAAGAACGACCCCAACAGTTCAGATTTATGTGCAGTACATTGCCTGATATGCTGTAGAGAGGCGACGGAATACTGGGCGAGAGCCTCGGATCTCTGGAATTCCCTCTTCTCGATTCCCCTCCCTGAACACCCCATCCACCTCCTTCTATGGACTAACATCCCAGCTCAATTCCACAAGACAGAGAAAACGTGGTTCGGAATGATCAGAAAGGTAACGTTGTGGTCCATCTGGAAGGAAAGGTGCTGCAGAACCATCGAGGGACTCTCAACTCCAAGGGAGAAGGTATGGGCGGAGACAAGGACCTTGATTCAGGCAGAGATTCTTTGCAAGTGGCAAAAGACGAGACACTCCATGCCAGATGACGAAGAGCAACAGAGAAGAATCTCAGCAAAATTCACTAAGGTGTGGCTCGCAGGGGGCAAAGTAGCAGAGATAAATGACCTTTGCATACAGTGGAAAGACTGGCATAACTTAGAAGCAGGGTGGAGAAGGCAGAGATCCCAGCCAGCAGATGGACAAGATCAATCACACGCCACGTAATATTGATGGGCAGACTCCGAGATTGCATGCGCTGCAGCTTCTTTTACCTTTCTTTCTCTTTATTATTTATCTGACAGGTTCATGATGTGGACCTGAGAGGGAAGGTGGAAGTAAGGCAAGCTGACAGTCAATCCTCCACGATGCCGGAGTAATCAATCCTGGTCAGGGGTCCTTCGGCCAGACGGCAGGAAGCATGGGTGTGTGTCATGATGTAACATTGTATTCTGACTTGCCGGTGGAATAGGAACCGGACTGATGCTCCCCAGAACGGAAATGGAGCCAGGGCCAWAAGGACCTTTTTARAAAAAAAAAAAAAAAAAAAAAAAARRAAGTCGACTGAAACCAAAGCGTTTTTAGAAATGGATTCAGGCAGGCTTAAAAAAAAAAMAAAMARAWCCTATTGAATACCACGAAATCAAGTCGACTGAAACCAAAGCCACAGACCAAATAAGGTCAATCAACCAGTGGTCTGGAAAAAAAAAAGAGATCTAAAAGGATCAATTGACTTGATTGATTAAATTGACACTTGCTTGAATCAACCACTGAATTCATCAATCATATTGACCAATCCCTCCAATCAATGTCAACTGGAAGTACTAAATGTTCCGTTTCATAGTCATTCTGGTGGGTTTCCACCTCATGCTCTCAAGCTCTGAAAATAAGGTTGACATCTTGCAGACCACTGACTTTTCGTCTGTTCAAAACATTGCGAAAACCACTAAATCCGCTTATATCCTGCTGCAAGGAAAATGAGCAATAGCGAGATGACAATATTCAGATTGCACAATCACATTGAAAGCCAGATCGTATCAGTGCCCAGAAAGCACCATTTCACCAATATGACACCAATCGTAACACTGAAAACCAATGTCAATGAGAGATTGCTCTCGCCACCACCACAGCCTACTCCCTACACAGCTACTACTAGCCTACTAATTGACAATGCAACTGTTGACGTCAGCAGCCAACGAAGTACTTGAAGATGTCGCCCGTAGCAGACCATCGCCAATACCAGGTATGTGCCCTCACATCATCATCATCATCATCCTTCTCTCTCTCCCTCGTCTTACTCCCACGTCTTCCCTTTGTACACCCGAAGACCACCCCCTGCACCTCACTGTAGACCAAGCCCACCTAGCTATGGAGGATGGGCTATGGCGCTTCCCTCAGCAGCGCCCTTTTCTGTACCCGACCGCACGTGCCCACACCTTGCCTCTCAGGCCAGCCACAACCCACGAGCGTTCGCTCCAGCAGCGTTGCCGCTAGCATGCAAGTGCCCGAATGGCCAGCCAGGGAGCGAGCTCTTTCCTATATGGAAAGAGACTGCCTCGATTGGAGGCCTGGCTGGCCTGGGCCTCGGCCCAGAAGCTTCCAGTAGGCCCCAGTACGCTGCACCTCTGCTGCGGCTACTGGGCCTCATTCGGTTGGGCCTCTCAACCGCCTGTGTATGAGGCTGCGATTCTTGCCCAGGGTCTGCACTTCTGGAAAGGCCAGGAAGGCCGTGGAATTTTCTTGCTGCTCGGCCTGTGTTTCCTTTAACCAACTGGCACATCGCAACTGTCTGGGGCCCAAATACGAAATTGACAGCCGAGCGCCTCTCGTGATTTGCTAGGCCCACCTTCACTTAGGGCGGGCACATATGCAACAGGGGCCCTTTAGGCCTGCCGAGGACCCAGATCCTCGCACTGCGTAGCACTGTATAGGCAGGCTATACTAACACACGACGCTTGTCCACTGGGTGCTCTTATACTTCAACCTCCACTATGAGCTTTTATAATTTGTATTATGTGTGTAAAACTATACTCACACTACCGTCCTCAACCGGATAGAACACCCCGTCATTAGCTGTATTTGTGGCAAATTTTAGTCTAGAAACTAGATACAGCGATAATGACCGGGCGTTTTATTCAGGTGGAGATGGTAGGCTATACTCACACTAGGTGATTATATACTTCAACCTCCAAAGAGCTGAAGCTGCACAGGTTGCAAAACTCGAACTCCATACCTGAAATTATTCCAGAGAAATTTAGAAAGTGTGCAATCACAGTGCAAGTTTTCTTTCTGTTTCATCAAGCTTTATGGCAGTCTCACACCAGACGCTTTTTCTTGCAAATTGTGTTATTTAAACTTATTTTCGACTGAGAAAAAAAAGAAATGCTGCACCAGCGAGTCACACTGGTGCACATTTCTCGAAACTGCAGTGCTGCAACAGCTGCAACAGTCTGCCATTTGTGAACCTTGTGCCTTGCTTTGTCACACAGCCAAGATGCGAATTCATTCTTTTTCTTTTTCAAATCTTCCGCTGGTCTCGGTAATAGGCTGGAGTGTGCAAACGAGCAACAGAGTCAAAGTTTTTTTTTTTTTTTTAAATGATACTTCCGCAGGTTCACCTACGGAAACCTTGTTACGACTTCTGTTTCCTTTAAATGATAAGGTTCAATGAACTTCTCACAGCACCCCCAGCGGCAAACCGCCGAGACCACCGCGATCACTTCACCGGACTACGGAAACCTTCTTACGACTTCTCCTTGCTCTAAATGTTAAGGTTCAATGGACTTCTCACAGTACCCCCAGCGGCAAACCGCTGCGATCCAGACACTTCACCAGACATTGTTCCCATTTTCCACCAACAAATCAAAAAACAAAACGGTTTTGAGAACAGCTTCAGAGGTGATTGCAAAGTGCGGCCTCCCACGGCTCACCAAGCTGCTGATATTTGCAACTCCATGTGAGGCATTTGGTAATGATGGGTCCATGTGTGACTACTTACACTTTGCAAAATCTGTGTAGTGGCGTCAAAAACGTCTTACCGTCTTCACCCAAATTAATATGTCCGGTCATTATCACTGCAGGTGGACTGAAAGTTGCAGCGAATACAGCTATAATGACCAGGCACTCTATTCGGGTGAAGACGGTAGTGTGAGTATGCCCTTATAAGAATTTTTCAAATTTGCAGAGGCTATATTATTTGAATTTTATTTCAGACCTCATCTAACATTCCCACAAGGGAAAAAAATAAAATACAAAATTGCACCTCACCTAACATGCCCGATGCGAAAATTGCCCTCCAGCTTCTCTTGTCGAGCCACGAGGGCCGCAATTGGAGCGATGATCTTGCGTGTCACCATCGACCCGAGGAAGAAGAAGGCGTACACGCCAACTGGCCCAACCCAGCCAACATATCGCCAAACCACATATGAGTAATAAACAACGGTCAACGGTGCTGTGAATGTGTTGGTCATGAACACACCAAGGCTGGTGCAAAGACTCCGTATCTCATCTGTCATCCTCTGGTCTGGATTATCCACATCAGTGACATCACGCTGGACCAACATGCCTGGTACTTCACCGCTTGCCTTGACATCAGCCACCCGATCGCATTTCATCACAACAACCTGGACAGCATCACCATCACCATAACTTCCAGCAGTCCCCGCTCTGAACCCGATTTGTTCCTTCTGCCCAACCATTCCTTGCAGTCCTTGAACCAGACCGGCAGATAATGCTAGACCGGATGGTGGCATCCGATCAAAGTGGGGGAAACCAGAGGAAGAAGATAGCAGATTAGATCGCGGCGGGTGATCAGGGCAGGCATAGTTGCCAGCGACACTCTGCTTTTCTGTTCTCTTGCTCCTTGCCTCACTGCTCTCAAAAACATCCGAAAGCGGCGCGAGTTTCGATGGAGCTGCCGAGGTTGGGTGTTGGTTATCTGTAATATCAAGTTGGAATGATGAGACCCGACAGCGCTGCTGACGAGCTAGGACTAAGATATTTTGGCCTTGAAAATAGCCCTCATGTGCTGCTTGTGTAAGCCTTCGCCTCCACTGGAGGCACAAGTACTCTGTCACTGCCAGCTGCAAAGCAGAGCATGCAGATTCGATTGTGTACCAGAGCAGACTGTATGCCATAGTATTCCAAAACAACTGCCATGGATGGAGTATGAGCAAGGCATAGCCAGTATTAGCCACACAATATACCAAGAAAAATCATCAGACAGGGATGATGCAGGGGAAGAGATGAGATGGGATGGGAGGGGATATGAAGAGATACGTAAAGCGGAGGGGAGGAGTTAACAGGAGACCTCAAGTGGGAGAGACCGGGAAGTGGTAAGGATGAGAAAGAAGCAAATAAATTGAGACCACCCTGCATCGCACACTTTCACACGATTCTCACACAAGGCCGGACACACAAGAAACACGCATGAGATAGTGGCAGTAGCAGTGATAACAGTAGCAATAGTGGTAGTAGCAGTAGTGGCAGTAGTAGCAGTAGCAGTAGTGGCAGTAGCAGTAGTGGTAGTAGCAGTAGTGGCAGTAGTAGCAGTAGTGGCGGTAGCAGTTATAGCATTAGCAGTAGTGGTAGTAGTAGTAGTGGCAGTAGCAGTGGTGGTAGTGGTCGTAGCAGTAGTAGTAGTGGTAGTGGTAGTAATAGTAGTGGTAGTAGTAGTAGCAGTGGTAGTAGTAGTGGTAGTAGTAGCAGTAGTAGCAGTAGCAGTAGTAGTAGTAGTAGTGGTAGTAGTAGTAGCAGTAGTAGCAGTGGTAGTAGTAGTAGCAGTAGTAGTAGTAGTAGTAGTAGTAGTAGTAGTAGTAGCAGTAGTAGTAGTAGTAGTAGTAGTAGTAGTAGTAGTAGTGGTAGTAGC